GATGGTTCATTTCTGTTCGTTCCTTGCTTGAGCAATTTAGGTAGCTCGGCCTCACCCTCTCCAGCCAGACCTAAACCTAACTCAGAGAACTGCCTTAGTCTCGAGTGCTGTTAGAAACCCGTCCAATATTTGGGCTGAGAAAGAAGTTTCTCTGTGCGCAAAAATTCGCCTGTTCCCTGTCTCTGTTAAGTCAGTGGCGTTGCAAGGCATGGAGCCACTTGCGATAACGAACGAGCAAGACCCCGATTGGCTTCAAGCCATAATGAACCTATAACGGTAGGACACGTGAAGAATAACGCTGTTCCGCTTCAGGCGCAGATTACCTCAGTAGATTTGGAAATTAAGGAAAGGAGGTTGGCTCTGTCAGATAAACTGGTTGATAATAAACAATTTGCTCCAGCCCATGAGCTTCTCGTATGGGACCGAAACACGCAGACATCGATCAGGGGCCAGTATATAACATTGAGAAACAAGGAAGAGGCAGATCTGCCTTTGTAGAGGAATTGCTAGTTCTGCGATGCAGTAGCCGGTGTCTTATAGCAAAATTATTGAAAGCTGTGACACAGCCGACATCACAAACCAGACAAGTGCTGTTTATGCAACCGGCGCAAGTTGATGAGCTCACTCGCTTGTTTGCTCACCTCCCTGGAGGAACAATGGATCCATAAAATATAGATCAATATATCATTACATGTCTTTTTGATTTTCGGTGGATATCCAGTCGCTTTTCCATTTTCGGCCATATGTATTAATGATATGCAAATACCATCCGAAACAGAAAAAAATAAAACTTTGTAGCCACTGTTTACAGGGGCTAAGTGGATGGCACGCTGCTGCTTTGCCTATAATGCGTAACTAAGCCTGTCTGATGCCGATGTAGCTATTTCCTGCCTATTGCATATCAAGGAACATGCGATATTTAGCATTAACCTGATCAGAATGATTAGCATAATTTATTTAACACAACATTACCTCATGCACGGTTACGGATAGATTTGTAACACAGCGACTATGATCGTTTCAATCGGTGACGTCTCCAAGGATTGCAAAGGCATAAATGGAAAAGTGTATGCTTCAGCCAAAGAACAAAAACTCAGTTGCTTGTTTAAAGAGCCAACTGTGTGTAACAGATGGAGAGTCAAGAAAGATCAGTTTCAGATTTCTTCACTCGATACTATTATTGTATACAGATTTTTCAGAAAATCACTAGTTATTTAATTTCACAATTCCTCTTTCCAGTTTTTGCTCCAGACCTCAGTACTTTGAGTAGTCTTTCATTCCTATCTTTGAAGCAAAATTTGACTCAGCGCTGAAGTAGCACAACGACCTTTCTTAGCATACAATAATTATGCGGATCTCCGTACATCTGACATGGCGTCTGCATTATGGAAAGCTATAGCGACCAAAATTACGAATCGTTTGCCTCCAAAACTAGGTTAAATCAGTTGCTTCGCTTCATCTGTCTCCGCGACCGAGATGAATAAGCCGCTAACGAAA